TGGCACTATGGGGCGAGGGGCTCCGGGACCAGAAAGTGGTCTTTTTCTCGGACAACATGGCGGTGGTGCATGCGGTGAATAATCAATCGGCTGCCTCTAAGCCGGTGGTTAGGTTGCTGCGGCGCTTTGTGTTGATGTGTATGTCACGGAATGTTGTGTTTCGCGCGCGTCATGTCCCTGGGTACCTGAATGAGGTGGCTGACGCTCTGTCTCGTTTTCAGTGGTCCCGATTTTGGTCGATGGCGCCAGGAGCATTGAAGGAAGGGGAGGCTTGCCCGGACGAGATATGGCAGCTGGGAGCGTCCTGCTTGGGGGACTTGTGAAGGCTTCACTGGCACCGGCCACATGGGCCTCCTACAGTAAGGTCTGGGACTCTTGGGAACGATCATTAGACGGGTTGGAGCATGGCTTACGTGGGGATGCGCTGCGGGACGCTTTTCTATGGTACACCTGCCAATTGCTGGCAAAGGGGGCGTCCCCGGCAGTGGTCGACAGGTCCATGGCGGCAATGGCGTTCTGGTTCCGATGGCGCGGGTCGGAGGATCTGACTAAGACCTTCCTAGTACGGCAGGCGCTGAAGGGTTATCGAAAGGGCCGCAGGACCTGTGACTCTAGGCGCCCGGTGTCGGTACGGGTATTGGGGGATCTGGTGGGTCGGTTGCCGGAAATTTGTTTCAACGGGTTTGAGGTCTCTCTGTTCAGAGCGGCTTTTCTCTTGGCATTTTTCGGGGCGTTCCGCGTGGGGGAGCTGGTGAGTGCCAGTAGGGTGGTGCCCGGGGGTCTGCAGGCCTCAGGGGTTCGTGTTTTGGAGGGTAAGGTGGTTGTGCATCTGGGTAGTTCTAAGACGGACGTCCGTGGCGTGGGTAGGGACGTTACGCTATGGGCTCTGCCGGGCGCAGCATTGTGCCCGGTGGCTGCAGTGGCGGAGTACATGGCTCGGAGGCCGGCGGTGGGGGGTTCCTTCTTGGTACATGCGGATGGTTCTTCCCTGTCCCGGTTTCAGTTTACAAAGGTTTTTCGGGCCGGGCTAGGTAAGTTGGGGCTTCCGGCCGGACGTTTTGGTACTCACTCCTTTCGCATTGGGGCGGCCACGGAGGCCGCACGGTTGGGATTAGGAGATGAGGTCGTGAAGCGCATAGGGAGATGGGAGTCGGTGCGGTTCCGCTCATATGTGCGGTTGGGCTTATTGGAATAATAAAAAAAAATAAAAAAAGGGACATGTCTGGGTAGGTATATGTTTATATATGTGTATGTATAGATATGGTGCGGGGGCGGACATGGACGGAGGAGTCCTCTTTTGCCTTTCCCTCATGCTTGTTTTCTTCTTCTCCCCAGGACGGGTTGCTTGGATTGTGGGACATTCTTTTGTCTTCTGGGCCGAGAGGAGGGCCGCAGCTCGAATGCAGGGCCAGCAGCTGGGCTTTCCGAAGGACCAGTTGACAGTCCGATGGTTTGGGTACAGGGGATTTTGCTGGGGGGAGGTTTGTGGGGCAATGTTTAGGATGGTGGTGGGCGGGAGGACACCGGACATGGTGGTCCTTCATGCTGGGGGTAACGACTTGGGCCTCACGCCACAACGTCGGTTGGTAAAGTGGATGAAGCAGGACATCAACAAATTGAGGGACCTGCTTCCGGGGGTTATGTTAGTGTGGTCGGAGATTGTCCCAAGGCGTCGATGGCGGCACGCGCGGGATCCGGTGGCGATTGATCACTGCAGGAAAAAGGTGAACAGCTTAATGGCGAGCTTCGTTAGGAAGATGGGAGGTGTGGTGGTACGGCACAGCGAGTTGGAGGAGGGGTTGCCGGGGTACTACCGCTCGGACGGGGTTCACCTTTCGGAGGTGGGTTGGGATCTGCTCAACTTGGGTTGGCAGGTTGGTATGCAGCGGGCGCTGTTTCTTCGGGGTGGCGGAGCTCAGACGGCTTAAGGGGTCAAGGTCTGAGCTTATGGCGGGACGGGGAGCTGAAGGAGAGGAAATAGGCTCCCCAGGATGAACGTAATGGAAGACAAACAAGTGGTGGTCATTGGTGGTTGATAGGTTTCGAGTCCTGTCGGTGGCTCAGAACCTGGTGGGGTAGGGGTATCCGGGTATACCCCTGCCGTGGTTAATGGATGGTTGGCACTTTACATCGATTGGAATAATGTTGATGTATGTTATATATATATGTTTATTTATATGGGGGTCATTGCCCTTTATATGTTAATGGAAGGAATAGGATGCGAGGGCGGAGTATGGGGGGCAATGACCCATGTTTACTTGTTAAGTTATTATTATGATTATTATTGTTATTATTATTGTTTGCTAAATAAAGCTGTGGACATATTTCCCCATATCCTCTAGTATGTGCGTTATTGGGTTGGGTTATGGGGTGGTTGTCCTGGATTCCGACTGCCCAAAATGGCGACTATACACCTGTCATGTAGCCCCATTTAGCCAAGCGCAGCTAAGCGGAAAAAGGCCTTGACAGGGGTTAGGAGGCGGGCCTAGGAGGAAGTAAGCAAGGGAGTGGAGTTATGGGTAAGTGGGTTTGGTTATTTAAATGGGCAGCCATTTTAGTTAATTCATTTTAACTTCCTACCTGGTTAAGTTTGTCCCACCCACCCTCCCTGTTTTGTTATGTGTGGTTTTGTCCCGTTTTTTCACAGCGGCGGGACGGGGAGCTGAAGGAGAGGAAATAGGCTCCCCAGGATGAACGTAATGGAAGACAAACAAGTGGTGGTCATTGGTGGTTGATAGGTTTCGAGTCCTGTCGGTGGCTCAGAACCTGGTGGGGTAGGGGTATCCGGGTATACCCCTGCCGTGGTTAATGGATGGTTGGCACTTTACATCGATTGGAATAATGTTGATGTATGTTATATATATATGTTTATTTATATGGGGGTCATTGCCCTTTATATGTTAATGGAAGGAATAGGATGCGAGGGCGGAGTATGGGGGGCAATGACCCATGTTTACTTGTTAAGTTATTATTATGATTATTATTGTTATTATTATTGTTTGCTAAATAAAGCTGTGGACATATTTCCCCATATCCTCTAGTATGTGCGTTATTGGGTTGGGTTATGGGGTGGTTGTCCTGGATTCCGACTGCCCAAAATGGCGACTATACACCTGTCATGACTCACATTGACTTACTGCAATCTTTCTAGTATTCCCACCACCAACATTGACCACCAACCGCACCATAACACCCTCTTTAAAAATTCTCTACTTTATCTCAAGCTCCCCTGCAAAGTAAGGTACATACAAAGTAAATACATACACATGGATTTAGTAAACTGCATTCATGTACATATGCCTACACACATACATGCACACACGCTCTCTCTTACATATGTGTATACCGTGAAAGTGTGACAAATTCAAAGGAAAATATTAAAAATTGACAGGGAGCAAAGATGGAGGCATCCAGTTAAAGGATAAAAAAGTGTGGATTCTACGTTTAATTTTATTTTTCACACTCACAAATACATGTTTGTTAAACATAGTTTAGAGCAAACATAATATTAAAAAATTCCGAGATGTAATAGTTTCCCTTTAAGAAAACTAAGGACGAAGGTAGAAACATATAATGGGGGCATTAATTCAGAACATCAACAATCCTTCCAGTCATGAATATTCCTTTTCCTCATACGTGATGAACAAATGCAGAACACGGACTAAGCCTATAGGCCGCTAAACACAGATAGCCTTTCCGTTTCTGATCAATATGCAGAATAGAGTGACATTTCGTTTGTACTTTACTAGCCGTCATCTGATACTAATGCCTCGGCCCTTTTTTTTATTAGTTAACCTTGTCCCACTTTTTTTCAATAAAGCATAGGTTTTTTTTTTCACGTAGGAATGAAAACACATGCATAAACAATACGCTGTGTTTACTACAGAAAAACAAGAGCGATCTTATAACACACAGCCATGAAATGCTTTCAAAAACATAATGTACGGTACAAAAGGCTAGACAGTACACATTCGTTGCTCTAACACATACAAAAACAGAACCCCACTTTGTTTAAAAAAATTAATTTTAAAAAATAGTTTTTTTTGTAATCACATTTATACCCAACGCATTCTGATATTAATGAATGTGGCAGATTTGCTTGTTTTAATCCATGTGTATTGTTTTTTTTTATATAACTGTTTGAGTAAGCTTCATCATTAAAAACTGTTTTATCTATTTGAAACCTGAGATTTATCAGTTCTTTTAAATATTCTGTTGCAAAAAAAATCTAGTTATTTACGCAAATTGTAATAGCGTTTAGCGCCACAATATAAATATATGGTTTCCGTCTAATTTCTCTTCTAGTTAAGATCATTAGTATAAATCCAGATCAGAGTTATTTACCAAAATGAGATTTATTAGGAATTCAAAGTAAATTTCAAATGAAAGACCAAAGTAGCTGCACTGGAATTATAGAGTCGGAGAATGTTTCCAGTTTGACTATTTGGGTCTTACATTTAAAATGTACTTGGAATTTACTTAGAAAATTCCAGTTTCTTTAAATAATGCTGAATGTATTTTATTCAGTGAACTCGGAATAATGGTTAATCTAAGGACTGTTAATAAATTTCCTGTTTTAGTTTTATAACATTTTAAATTCAGTTATATCTTCGTACATTACAGAATTCAGTCCTCGTGTCACAATTCACTGTTTAGTGAATAGATCCCCTTTATAGTACTGTACCATAACATGTGCTGATTGTTGTTGTGCACTTGTTTAAAACACCCGGCCTCTATGGGCCTGATGTAGCCCTACATGATGAACACTTCACATACTATGTACGCAACCTTACTGTGCTATATGCAACCAGGACCTGCAAGTCCTCACTATTGAAAATGTTTGTATTGACAAAACTCAGTTTCTATACACACAGAATCTTAATAAAAGAGATTTTCAAAAAAATAGATCCCCTTTATTATATTTAGGCATATATTTTATATTTTAAAGGGTTTGTTTTGCACAGAAACCTCTAGGTAAATTTGCTTTCTGTTCGATGGTCTGTCAGTCAGGAGGAGGAAGTTACTGCCCAAATTATTTGCATGAACAAAACTGATGTTTTCCGAAACAGCACAGTTTGTCTCTCATGTACGCAGTCTTATCCCACGTCTCTGCACCCGGCTGAGTGTATGGAAGGATTTTAAATCCCAATATGAAAAATTCTGAGGCTGTGATATACTTGCTCTGCGGATTATGCGTACTCTTAACCGGTAAGTGTCTTATTTAAAATCAGCCGCTATTTGAAACTGTAAAAGCCGCTTCCAACACCATAATATCATGTCTTCGCGGGTTAGGCGTAAAGAGCAGTTCTGACGCAACGCAAGTGGAGCCATCACCGTGGCAACCAATAGACTGCATCACTGTTAGAACCTAGCCGTAGATACAATTTTTCTAGACAACCCACAGCAGCGTTTTTTCACTAGACAGTAAAGTTATAGTGAATGGAAAACCATATTGACGGAGTCGGAAAATTTCACAAACTCGGCTATCTTAGTCTGAATTTTTAAATTCTGGATCCAATTCACTGTTTAGTGGATAAACCCCTTAATGTTTGTTTGTGGTTCTAAAGTGGCACGTGTTGTGTAAACGGTTAAACTCGGATGACAAAATTTAGGCTAAATTTGATGATGTTAAAAAAAATACACAAAATCAGCTCTAGTTGCAACTTGACTATTTTAGCCTGCCGTTAGTATTTAAATGTAATGTGCTTGGCAATCACCGAATGGACATTTAGCTTATTTCATGTTTATATAATTATATCAATAGCATAATCTTGTTTACATGCTACTAAGCAAAGCAGCATTGCTGAGGGGGAACTATGCAAAGATACATTTTCCTGACCATCTGTTCAAAAGAGGAAGAAAAACAAATTAACATTCTATAGAAGTCTGGGGGAGCAGTCAGGCAGAACATCTTCACTGTAGACAGTAGAGCAATGTTTAGAGTTCTAAGCTGTGGAGATATACACAGTACTTACCTTTACCTACCTACACAGAGTCTTAGAGTTCAGTGGACAAGGCCTGGTTTTAACAATTGCTTTTAGACTGGTTGGTAATAAATTGCAAAATCTCAGACAAAACTTGTCAAGTTCAGCTTGGGTTCTTTCACCTTTCCGAGCTCAATAAGATAAGTATCATTAAGTTGGTTAATAACATCAAGAATTCATCCAAACCCTAAGAGTTACTTGGAAAAACAGGGGAAAGCTAAATGCACCTGTGTTCGTGAAATACGTTGATGTGAAGTCTCGATATGTCCCATACAACTTTCTGTTAGTTTCGTATTCATAGCGGAAGTACTGCTGCAGTGTGACTATAGCGGCTCTAGGCCCAAATAAATCGTCACACAAGAAACTGGTCCCCAGAGTCAGGGACTGTTGTAGAATTTAAACATTTGCTGATCTACCACTGGCTGAAAAGTGAAGCAAAGTTTTAAACATAGAGAATTTATCCATTGTACAGCGCTACGGAATTTGATGGCGCTATATAAATAAATAAATAATAATAACAATCCATGGAATGTACCTGATAATTCCAAAGGTTTCCATGGTGACTCCTTCACTTTGCAACACTTTAAAAAATATGCCCCTTTTAAGTCTCTGGTTGAGAATCTAGTGCTGGTTTTCACCTGGGATGCTGGTTGGTGGAGAATAACAAAATAGTTCACAGGGGGCCCACCAAGCCATCCCATACCATTTTTATTTGTATCAAGAATACGTAATTGTAGCATTTTAGCCCAACGATGTTGCAATCATTCAACGTAACAGTGGTAATATATTGTTTATTGACATTGTAAAGATCACAGGCTGAGTTGGAGATCTGGGTTTTCATGGCTCATAAAAATGTGACACCTGGTGAAGTTGCCCCCACCCCGACTTGTTTGGTTCTACCCACTTAACCCCAAGAGATGCCAGGGTCTTTGTCAAAACAGCTGCATCTCCAATCATCAATAACGAGTAGATTAGAAACTGTACATTTAATCAAGACAGACCCAAGTTTTTTCTAACACACGTTCATCAGTAGTCCTTACAGTACCAAAAAATGTGATTGACTTATTTTGCAACAAAAAATATTTTTAGGCACTGCCCCACCTACCACTATATACCAATTCCCACTACTCCTGAGTGATGATCCCCATGTCTGTACCCATCCCTGGTTCTTTTTTTTTTAAAAATGCTCTTTTGACTCCTTGAGCGCTCTGAATAGATTTCAGATATCAATGCAATTTTGTAGAATTTTTTTAAATTGATTCATTATTTTTTTTAAAGGATTAAGTTTGAGATAATTTCAAATCTGGAAAACCTTCCTTCAAACATCTTATAAGGACAAGGTAGAAAGTCTGAGAACAGCTTTACTCGAGGCATATACAGCAGACATTACTGGCAATGGCTGGGTACTATATAATCCAAAGAAGAATGTATTTTGAGCAGGAGTTGGAGAGGCAGCATTAAAGGACCACTATAGGCACCCAGACCACTTCAGCTTAATGAAGTGGTCTGGGTGCCTGGTCCAGCTGGGGTTTACCCTTTCTTCTATAAACATAGCAGTTGCAGAGAAACTGCTATGTTTATAAATGGGTTAATCCAGCCTCTAGTGGCTGTCTCATTGACAGCCGCTAGAGAGCTTCCGCGTTTCTCACTGTGATTTTCACAGTGAGAAGACGCCAGTGTCCATAGGAAAGCATTGTGAATGCTTTCCTATGGACTGGCTGAATGCATGCGCGGCTCCTGCCGCGCATGCGCATTCAGACGAAGAGGAGGAGAGGAGGCGGAGAGGAGAGCTCCCCGCCCGGCGCTGGAGAAAGAGGTAAGTTTAACCCCTTCCTCACCCCTCAGCACCACGGGGCACCCTCAGGGCACTATAGTGCCAGGAAAACAAGTATGTTTTCCTGGCACTATAGTGGTCCTTTAAGAACATTGCTCAACATTCTATAGTAGGCTTAGGCCATTCTTGATCTATAGTCACTTAACTAATCTACATGTTTTAATTGTTCCCAGTTGAGTGATATTTGTTTTGTTTACAGATTGTGGCATCAATGCAGCAGAGGATAACAGACAAGGTAAAAGCAACAATTATTATTACCTTTATTTATTTTAATGGGCAGGTCTGTCTCATATCTGTAAAGGAGCTTGTACGACAGGTACGCATATGTACCTCTGCATGCAGTTTCACTCATAGAGAAACATGAATGAGTCAATTTGACAATCCCAGAGACCGCTGTTACTTTGCGGAGATATTTTTTTATTTATTTTTTATTTAATATGAAAATATTATTGACAAATATACCATAAGTCACATTAGCTGATGCCAAACGCGTCTACTGAAAACAATGACAAGACGGGACTAGCCGAGAAGTAACTATTTTGCTGTCTTTGCAGAAGCTGTACATTTGCAGCAAATAAGGCAAATATAAAACAGCTAAAGACACGATGGCAAATTTCAGCCCGGGGGAACCTCTTTAAAAACAAAATTGACAAATGTTAACTATTGCGTTATATGATTTTATTATTTTCTATTAACTTCACTGCATCTCTAGCCTTCCCAGATACCTCTCAGCATTTATCAAGGCAAGAGATTTAATTAGCTCCGGGGTTACTTTTAAGATGATTTGTGTACTGAAATACTGGAATACCTTTAGAACATGACTGCGATGTCAGGTTATCAGTCATGAAGGAGTTAAATACATTTTAATTGCAAGAGATTCCTTGCAATCTGAATTCTGCTTCTACAAGAGTGGGCAAGGAAGAAATTTACTTTTACAGGTAAACCCCTTACCTCTAAGCAACGTGTATACACAAACATTTTTTTTTTTATCCATTGCAGTGAAATTTAACCAAGAAAGCCCACTTACGTTCCCTTTTGCTTAACAATTATTTTTCACTTTTTAAAACTTTATGAGCCATGGTTCCCTTCTGACCCTCTGCATCTCTGCAGAGGTACTGTAAATGTTGTCCCCTCCAACCCCCTCAACTCTACACCAGATTTGTAGGTCACAAAAAATGACTGCGTTCTAGCAGCCAATGAGCGAGGAGGAGTAAACCCGCAATTATTTAAAACATGAATCCTGAATCCTTCATTTATTTCAGTAACTGTAGAATCGTATTTAATTTAAATTTTTAGAGGTGTCTGAGCTGCATACGAAACAGCTTTTTAAAGCTACATTTACGTATTAACTGTGTATCCCATGTTTCAAATAAATTAAACAATATTTTTAAAATGAAAATAACTTTCTAGTTAGGGGTTTACTAATTTTTATTTCAAATAAACTTTACATGTCAACATCTACGAACGTTATGGCAATTAAGCAGACTATGGCTTCTATACTTTATTCCTTGATGGGTCAATAGAACTATTTCTCAATCAATATGATTCTGCACTTGTCATGAAGAGTGAAATGTATTTTATTAGTACATAGAGTAATGCCACTATTTATTTTTAGGAAATATGTTCCTGTGCCAGGATCCTCGTTTCATAGCAGCACGAAAAGGCCGTACGGTGTCCATAATTTGCTCCTTTGCAGCTGAGCATCTTAACACATCACATTGCAACACGACATGGTACCTTGGGATGCCAAACGGTTCTTTCATTAGCAACGTTATACCCGATAAAGACCCTAAAATATCCATAAACGGAAGTAAAAGTTGTTCCGTTCTATTACTTAAAAACATACAGAAGAAACACAGCGGGATTTACTTTTGCAAAATTAATACGAATTCAGGAGAGCGGATATCTCATTGTGGGACTGAGGTTATGGTGCTGGGTGAGTATCATGATGTGCTGGATCCGGGTACGGATCAGCCTACTATCCGTGCTTATTTTCTATAGCATCTGTAAGTAAGTTCCACTTACTGGGGACTACATCTCCCACAATGCTGTGCCAGTCTTGCCAGCAGTCTATTCCTGTTCTAGAACATTGGTTCTTAAGGGATTGCCACCTCAACACTAATTATTACCAGTGACGAAGCTAGAAATTTTTTTCACCCAGGTCAGAGTGACTGTGATAGAGTGATTGGGGGGATGAGTGTGGCAAGGTGAGGTGGTTAGTGTGACAGGTGAAATGTGTGAGTGTGGTAGGGTTTGGGGGATATGTGTGACAGGGTGAGAGTGGGTAAGTGTGCAGAGTTAGAGGGTGAGTGTGATAGTTTGGAGGGTGAGTGTAACAGAGTTAGGGGGTGAGTGTGACACGTGTTTGACAGGGTGAAGGGTGGGGAGTAACTTGGCAGGGGAGAGAGTGTGACAGGGTTAGGGGATGAGTGTGAGAATTGGGGGGTCGTGAGTGTGACAGGGTTAGGTGGCGAGTGTAAGAATTGGGGGTCGTGAATGTGACAGAGTGAGGGGGTGAGTGTGAGAATTGGGCAGTCGTAAGTGTGACAGGGTTAGGGGATGAGTGTGAGAGTTGGGGAGTGTGAGGCTGGTGAGGGATGGTGTGTGACTGGAGCAGGGTGGTGAGTGTGACAATGGTAGGGGGGTGAGTGTGAGAGTTCGGGGGTGGGTGAGTGTGACAAGAGAGGGAGAGACAGCAACCACACAGTAATGTCTTTTCTTTTTACATATATAGCATTGGCCCCCTTCTTACCTCCTGTGAAGGAAGGGGGGCATAAACGCATCCCATGGTTGACCAGTGGGCTCTTTGGCGGCCTGGTGTGCTCCCTGACAATCCAGTGGGCTGCAGGTGGAGCCGCAATCCTTCTAGTCCGGTGCTTTGTGATGACATCAGAGCATAGGCTGGAAAATCCAGTGACTGCGGTTTGCGAGGGAGTGTGCCTGCACCACGCACCACCAGGGAGTCCATTTCTAAAGAGCCCATCTTAAAAATACACAATGTCTTGGCTTGAGGAGGGATGCCCGACCTGAGATGAAAATTATGGGTATCTGGCTCTGGCTCTGACTCTGACTCTAGTGGTCATCTTCATGTGGCATCCCGGGCACTTGCACCCCCAGTCCCCCCCTCCTCATCCTCCCCAGTTTTGCTGCAGATTGTTAATATAATAATCCTTTCCTCAAGTTTTGCAAGTAAATAGGTTCTTTGTTAAATGATGCATATGTAAATAAAAATTAAGAAAAACTCATGCCTACCTTTAGTATATGACAGGACACTTCAGCCATATACATGCACCTTGGGTCAGATAGTGTTTGAAAACCTCTATATAGTCTCTATGGTTTACTCCCTGCACCGTGCAGTGATATCATCAGACCCACTAACTGTGAAATTCAAATGCTGTCTGACACAAGACGCACGTATATGGCTGAAACATCCTGTCATATACACTGCTCAAAAAAATAAATGGAACACTTAACCCCTTCACGACCGAGGACATACTAAGTGTATTTTTATATTAATATGTACTTATATTAATATAAAAATACACTTATAATTAAATTACACACATATATATATAATATATAAAATAACTATATATATTGTATATATATATATTATTATAAAATATAAATAATAAGTAATTTAAATTAAATATGTTTTTTAAAATAATAATAAAACATTTTAAAAAAATTATATATCTATATGAAATTTTATTCTAACTGTATTTTAAAATTAATATATATATATTTATATCAAAATACACTTAGAATGAATTTGTATATATATCTATGTATATATAAATAAATAAAAATAATACGAAATATGCATATGTCCATATACAAAATGACATAAATAATTATATAAATATACACGTAGACTTCAAATATATAAATATGCATATATATTTAAATTCTACGTGCGTATTTATGTAATATTTTTACATAATTCAGTAAATTTATTGATTGCAATTTGAGGGACCTGCCTGCCAACCCAGGCCGAAATTCCAGAGAATTTAATTTGCTAGCACTGTATTTTACCCTGTAATGTTCTACGACACCCTAAAACCTGTACATGGGGGGTACTGTTTTACTCGGGAGACTTCGCTGAACACAAATATTAGTGATTCAAAACAGTAAAACATATCACAGCGATGATATTGTCAGTGAAAGTGACTTTTTTGCATTTTTCACACACAAACAGCACTTTTACTGATGATATAATTGTTGTGATACGTTTTCCAGTTTTTAAACACTAATATTTGTGTTCAGCGATGTCTCCCGAGTAAAACAGTACCCCCCATGTACAGGTTTTATAGCATTTTTGAAAGTTACAAGGTCAAATATATGGGTCAAATATTTTTACATTGAAAATGGCCAGGTTGGTTACGTTGCCTTTGAGAGCGTATGGTAGCCCAGGAATGAGAATTAGCCCCATGATGGCATACCATTTGCAAAAGAAGACAACCCAAGGTATTGCAAATTGGGTATGTCCAGTCTTTTTTAGTAACCACTTGGTCACAAACACTGGCCAAAATTAGCGTACAATTTTTTTACTTTTTTCACACACAAACAAATATGAATGCTTACTTTGGCCAGTGTTTTCGACTAAGTGGCTACTAAAAAAGACTGGACATACCCCATATTGAATACCCTGGGTTGTCTACTTTAAAAAAAATATGTACATGTGGGGTGTTATTCAGAGATTTATGACAGATAATAGTGTTACAATGTCACTATTGATAAATTTTAAAAATGTATGTTTTGAAACCGCAATATCCTACTTGTACCTATAGCCCTATAACATGCAAAAAAAAGCAAAAAAGCACGTAAACACTGTGTATTTTTAAACTCAGGACAAAATTTTGAATCTATTTAGCAGTTTTTTTCATTCGCTTTTGTAGATGAGTAAAAGATTTTTCAAGTAAAAGTCAAAAAACATGTATTTTTTTCAATTTTTCATCATATTTTTTTTTTTTTTAAATTAAAATACATGAGATTATATAAATAATGGTATGTAAAGAAAGCCCCTTTTGTCCTGAAAAAAACAATATATAATTTGTATGGGAACAGTAAATGAGAAAGCGGAAAATTACAGCCAAACACAAACACCACAAAAGTGTAAAAATATGCCTGGTCGCAAATGTACAACATGGCAAAAACAGTCCAGTCCTTAAGGGGTTAAACAACACAATGTAACTCCAAGTCAATCACACTTCTGTGAAATCAAACTGTCCACTTAGGAAGCAACACTGAGTGACAATCAATTGCACATGCTGTTGTGCAAATGGGATAGACAACAGGTGGAAATTATAGGCAATTAGCAAGACACCCCCAATAAAGGAGTGGTTCTGCAGGTGGTGACCACGGACCACTTCTCAGTTCCTATGCTTCCTGGCTGATGTTTTAGTCACTTTTGAATGCTGGCGGTGCTTTCACTCTAGTGGTAGCATGAGACGGCGTCTACAACCCACACAAGTGGCTCAGGTAGTGCAGCTCATGCAGGATGGCACATCAATGCGAGCTGTGGCAAGAAGGTTTGCTGTGTCTGTCAGTGTAGTGTCCAGAGCATGGAGGAGCTACCAGGAGACAGGCCAGTACATCAGGAGACGTGGAGGAGGCCGTAGGAGGCCGCTACCTCCGCCTTTGTGCAAGGAGGAACAGGAGGAGCACTGCCAGAGCCCTGCAAAATGACCTCCAGCAGGCCACAAATGTAAATGTGTCAGAAACAGACTCCATGAGGGTGGTATCAGGGCCCGACGTCCACAGGTGGGGGTTGTGCTTAAAGCCCAACACCATGCAGGACGTTTGGCATTTGCCAGAGAACACCAAGATTTGTAAATTCGCCACTGCCGCCCTGCGCTCTTCACAGATGAAAGCAGGTTCACACTGAACACATGTGACAGACGTGACAGAGTCTGGAGACGCCGCAGAGAACGTTCTGCTGCCTGCAACATCCTCCAGCATGACCGGTTTGGCAGTGGGTCAGTAATGGTTCTTTGGGGGGCCGCATAGCCCTCCATGTGCTCGCCAGAGGTAGCCTGACTGCCATTAGGTACCGAGATGAGATCCTCAGACCCCTTGTGAGACGATATGATGGTGTGGTTGGCCATGGGTTCCTCCTAATGCAAGACAATGCTAGACCTCATGTGCCTGGAGTGTGTCATCAGTTCCTGCAAGACGAAGGCATTGATGCTATGGACTGGCCCGCCCGTTCCCCAGACCTGAATCCAATTGAGCACATCTGGGACATCATGTCTCGCTCCATCCACCAACGTCACATTGCACCACAAACTGTCCAGAAGTTGGCAGATGCTTTAGTCCAGGTCTGGGAGGAGATCCCTCAGGAGACCATCCGCCACCTCATCAGGAGCATGCACAGGCATTGAAGGGAGGTCATACAGGCATGTGGAGGCCACACACACTACTGAGCCTCATTGTGACTTGTTTTAAGGACATTACATCAAAGTTGGATCAGCCTGTAGTGTGTTTTTCCACTTTAATTTTGAGTGTGACTCCAAATCCAGACCTCCATGGGTTGAAAAATGTGATTTCCATTTTTAAATTTTTGTGTGATTTTGTTGTCAGCACATTCAACTATGTAAAGAACAAAGTATTTCAGAAGAATATTTAATTCATTCAGATTTGGATGTGTTATTTGTGTGATCCCTTTATTTTTTTGAGCAGTGTACTAAATGGTAGTGTACTTTTTTTACATATACCTAATTTAACAAAAACATCATTTTCCTTTAAAAACTTGATGAAAAGATTTTTATATTAAAAGACGGTGTTGAGGTGTCAGTTCTCATTTAACTCCGTGGTAGAATTCTAAAGTAACGCTTATAATCGCCGGTTCCACTTTTTTCGTTTGCAATTCATCTTTTATGCTAACACCTGTGACCCCCTAAAGGTGAAGTACCATTAACAAAATAACACTATCGGTGAAAACGCAAATGCCTGTTGAACACTAAGACAAACACTACATGCCACAAATCATCCCAAATATGCCATCCTAATAAAGAATATGAAAAATGTCCTATTCTTTATTACATCCCATTTGTAACATTTTATTCCTAAAATGTCAATTAATTCTCTTTGCTACATATGCTGGCTCAATTTACTTGATATATAATCCCATGAAGCCATTCCGCCCTTTAGTGCAATATATGTTTATTGGTCAAGTGTATTACAATTACAGTGTCTCTGTCTAACCTGTCCATCTCCTGTCGCATGTTACTTGCCCGATTAATGACTATGTATTATAACAGGTTACGGATCTCTTGAAAATGCAAAATCTCGGAACATGATGAAAGACGCGATTATCATAATTCAAACAATCCTGATTGCATTATTCATAGTGATCCCAGCAATGCTAATTATTGAGATGGTAAGTGTGTGTTTATGCAGCGTTCTGTCCTCTTACACAGTCTGATAAGATGGAATATTGAATTGTTAATGGTCAGACTTTGATTGACTTGAGAATACGTGTTCTAAAAAAAAAATGGAAAATGTACCAACCCTTATTGGGTCCCATACCTTATATTTTTCTAGGGAAAAAAGTAACAGTTGGGAACAAATTACTCAAACAAAACAAAACAAAAAAAAAAAATGCGTGAATGGTGCTACCTCTGCAAAACTGGAATACGAAATATAAAAATGTGATGTAACTTTTCTGATAAATCATCCAGGTCAGCTCAGTGCTGGCTGTAGTATTCACTAAAAGTACATCAGGAGCATGAAAGCCCCACTCCGGAGGGATCCAAATGAATTTAGGGAGTCATCCGTCAGCGAGACAATTTATTTGATTTGCAATGTATAAACATGTGTAGAGACCAATGTAGCAAGAAATGTAAAATAAGGGAACATTAAAAAAAGAAAAAAGTCAAATGTACACATTTTACATCTGCTAATAGATGCTTCCTTAGCAGTTTATTACTAAATAAGAAGCTATTGCCATTAAATCCAAAATAATTGTTTCTCATCATTCACTACTTTGGCTTCAAAGAATTTGTCTTCAAAAATATGCCGCAAAAACTGGGGTTCTAGCTTTGGCCACCCCTGTGTTGTAGACAATTGCTACATTTTAGTGAAGAATTAAATAAACAGTACAAGTATTATACTCATACACAGGGCCGCCATCTGGGGGTGACAACCGCACAGGCCCCACGTGGAGCAGCGAAACTGCCGCAGGTGCATCTGCACCGGGGCCCATCAGGTGGCGCAAGCATTTAGGGCCACCCGATGGGCCCTATATCTTCAGGGGCCCGGTCAGCGCTGCGGCCGGGTAATTGCACAACTGGGCCCCTTTAAAAAAATTGCGGCTACACCGCAAGTGCTGCTGGGAGGAAGTGACCGCTGTTCTCTTCCTCCCAGCTTACTCAGCGCGGGGGAAGGGAGAGGGAGAGGAGAGGACAGGAGAGCAGAGCAGAGGACAGGACAGGGACACCAGAGGCATCCACTCCCATCATCCCCAGCCACCCTCCTGCAACTTAAAGGTAAGAGGAGGGTGGCTGATAAATGAGGTGTGTCTGTGTGTATGTCAGTATGTTTGTCTGTGTGTGTATGTCAGTATGTATGTCTGTGTGAGTATGTCAGTATGTATGTCTGAGTGTGTATGTATGTCAGTGTGTATGTCTGAGTGTGTATGTATGTCAGTGTGTATGTATGTCTGTGTGTGTATGTATGTCAGTGTGTGTATGTATGTCTGTGTGTGTATGTATGTCTGTGTGTATGTATGTCTGTGTGTGTGTGTATGTCAGTATGTATGTCTGTGTGTATGTCAGTATGTACGTTTGTGTGTGTATGTCAGTATGTATGTATGTGTGTGAATGTATGTCAGTGTGTATGTATGTCTGTGTGTATGTCAGTATGTCTGTATGTGTGTATGTCAGTATGTATATATGTCTGTATGTATGTCTGTTTGTCAGTATGTATATATGTCTGTATGTATGTCTGTTTGTCAGTATGGATGTCTGTGTATGTGTCTGCAAGTATGTATATATGTGTGTGTGTGTGTATATGTCAGTATGCATGTATGTCAGTATGTATGTCTGTGTGTGTGTGTCAGTATGTATGTATGTATGTCAGTATGCATGTATGTCTGTGTGTATGTGTCTATCTGTATGTGTGTGTGTATGTCAGTATGTATATATGTATGTATGTCTGTCTGTGTGTGTGTATGACAGTATGTATGTGTGTATGTATGTATATATCTATCAGTATGTATGTCAGTATGCATGTATGTCTGTGTGTGTGTGTATGTCAGTATGTCTGTATGTATCTGTGTATGTATATATCTATCTGTGTGTGTGTGTGTGTGTGTGTGTGTGTGTGTGTGTGTCTGTATGTATGTGTATGTGTGCCATTATGTATGTATGTCAGTATGTATTTATGTGTATGTATGTATGTCTTTTTGTACATCTGTATGTCACTTTGTATGTATGTCTGTTTGTCAATATGTATGTTTGTCTGTATGTATGTGTGTGTGTCAGTATGTGAGTATGTATGTACGTCAGTGTGTGTCTCTATGTCAGTGTGTGTGTGTGTGTATCTGTGTATGTGTCTATATGTGTGTATGTCTGTTTCAGTATTTGTGTCTGTTAGTATGTGTGTATCTTTCTGTGTGTGTGTATTCCTGTGGGTGGGATTTGGAGGTGGGCACACGGGTGCCCAGACCTTGAGCTGTGTTAGGGGCCCCACAATTTCTGATGGCGGCCCTGCTCATACATGCAGCCTGCTTTGAAGGAACACTCCGATTAAATTCATTTCTATATATGTACATACCGAAATGCTGTAAGGGACAGGAGTGTCCTCTTAAACATGGGTCAATAGGTATAACAGTAATACATTCCCTATACCAAGACCATTTCTATCAAACATAACTTGAATCCATCATATTTGCATTTAGCATAAAAAGGAGATTTTTGTCTAAGTAAGAAAATTGACATGTGAATATTTTAAGACCAAGTGTATGTGCACAGATATCCTGACTGTCTGCCTCTCATACGCACCGTGGGTCTCAGAAGTCAGAGGTCGCGAGTCACGTGACCAGCAACATTTGACTTCACCAACATGCGGAGAGACCAAGAGGCAGACAGACAGGATGTCTGTGCAAATACACAGCACACAGGCACTGTATAAGAGAGAAAGGGGCAGCGGTGACAACACCTGCTAGAAATAATATATTGGGAGGCAGCTAACCCCAAAAAGGTCCTGACAATGCCATCTGGGTCCTGGGGTATGTGCAGGGGATGCCATCTGGATAATGGGGCAAATGCAAGGGATGCCAGGAATCTGTGTACAGAGCAAGTGCAGGGGATGCAATCAAGGTGCATGAGCCAGTTGCTGGGGCAGAGAGATGGCACAGAAATGCTGGGAACAAGGAGATGGCACAGAGAAACTGGGGGCAAGGAGATGGCACTGAGAGACTGGGGACAAGGAAATGGCACAGAAATGCTGGGGACAATGATATGGCACAGGAGACTGGGGATAAGGAGATGGCACAGAGAGACTGGGGACAAGGAGATGGCACAGAGAGACTGGGGGCAAGGAGATGGCACAGAAATGCTGGGGACAAGGAGATGGTACAGAGAGACTGGGGGCAAGGAGATGGCACAGACAGATTGAAGGTATGGAGATGACACAGAGAGACTGGGGGCATAAAGATGCAACAGAGAGGCTGGGTGTAAGGAGATGGCACAGAGAGACTGGGGGCAACGAGATGGCACAGAGAGACTGGGGGCAAGGAGATGGCACAGATAGATTGGAGGTATGGAGATGACACAGAGAGACTGGGTGTAAGGAGATGGCACAGAGAGACTGGGGCAAGGAGATGGCACAGAGAGACTGGGGGCAATTAGATGGCACAGAGAGGCTGGAGCAGATTGATTGCACTGGTTGGTTTATTAGGGCCACAGATGGCACTGGCAGTTTTTTGGGGTTTTTTTTGTTTTTTTTTAGGGGGGGGGGGGGTCAGAGATGGCTCATTGGCATGACATAGCAAGTTTATTCATTTAATGCTCATTGGCCTGATATACAAGGCTTATGCATTTAATGCATTAATAGCATCCCAGTGCTGTAAAATCCTTCAGAACTCCTTTTACTAAATGCTTGCCAAGTTAGGGAGATCTCTCTTATTGATTATCGATATCAAAGTGTCAAGTGGGCAATTTACACATTTACAGGGCCGTCTTTAACGCGGGGCAAACGGGGCAGCTGCCCCGGGCCCAGTTTCTCTTGGGGGGCCTGCCCCGTGGGCCCCGCTGCCCTCATCAATTAATTTTTTTCCCCCGTCCCACCGGGTGGCCCATGCACTTAGGGCAGTGGCATACATACCAGGGTCGCGGCTGCGACCCTGGTATGCACCCACAGGGCCAGCGTCTTCCCCTGGGGGGCCCAGGAGGCGGCCACCCCAGGGCCCCCCGAGGCTGGCCCTGCTGACACCCGGCGGGCAGGTGGCCGGTCGGGCAGGAAGGCGGGCACGCGAGGGAGCACTCAGTGCTTCCTCTTCTGCTCCCTCGCGCACCGTACTGATACCGGAGCCGGAAGATGACGTCATCTTCCGGCGCCGGCATCCCTCGCGCGAGGGAGCTGAAGAGGAAGCAGTGAGTGCTCCCTCGCGCGCCCGCCTTCCTGCCCGACCGGCCACCTGCCCGCCAGGGTCAGCAGCCCCACTGGACCCCATGGAATCCCCCCAGCACTCCAAAAGGTAAGGAGGCTGGGGGGATTACATTTAAAAAAAAAATGTGTGTTTATGTGTTTGTGTGTTAGTGTATGTGTGTGTTAGTGTATGTGTGTTAGTGTGTGTTTGTGTGTTAGTGTATGTGTGTTAGTGTGTGTTTGTGTGTTAGTGTGTGTTAGTGTATGTGTGTTAGTGTGTGTTTGTGTGTTAGTGTGTGCTAGTGTATGTGTGTTAGTGTGTGTTTGTGTGTTAGTGTGTGTTAGTGTATGTGTGTTAGTGTGTGTGTTTGTGTGTTAGTGTCTGTGTGTCAGTATGTCTGTCTGTGTGTCAGTATATCTGTGTGTGTGTTTCAGTATGTCTGTGTGTGTGTCAGTCTGTCTGTGCATGTCAGTATGCCTGTCTGTGTGTGTGTCAGTATGTCTGTGTGTGTGTGTCAGTATGTCTGTCTGTCTGTGTGTCAGTATATATGTGTGTGTGTATATCTGTGTGTGTCAGTATGTCTGTTAGTGCATGTGTATGCATGTGTCAGTATATCTGACTGTGTGCCAGTATGTCTGTGTGTGTGTGTGTCAGTATATCAGTCTGTGTGTGTCAGTGTATGTGCCTGTGTGTGTGTGTCAGTATTTCTCAGTGTATGTGGGTGTCAGTATATCTGTCAGTGTGTGGGTGTCAGTATTTCTGTCAGTGTGTGGGTGTCAGTATTTCTGTCAGTGTATGTGTGTCAGTATGTTGATCAGTGTATGTGTCTGTGTGTGTCAGTATGTCGGTATATGTGTCTGTGTGTCAGTATGTCGGTATATGTGTCTGTGTGTCAGTATGTCTGTATATGTGCCTGTGTCAGTATGTCTGTCAGTACGTCTACCAGTGTATGTGTCTGTGTGTGTGTCAATATATGTACCTGTGTCAGTGTGTCTGTCAGTGTATGTGCCTGTTTATCTGTATGTAGTCAGTGTATGTATCTGTGTATCTGCTTGTGCGTCAGAGTGTGTACCTGTGCATTTGAGCCGCAACTTTAAATACAAATACACCCCTCCATTCAAACTTCAACACTACATATAAAACACACTCCTGCATTGAAACGTCAACACTACATACAAGCACACTCCTACATTCAAAAACAAACACTACACATAAATGCACACTTGCATTCAAACTCCAGTACCACATACAAACACATTCACACAAACATACTCCATACAAACACATGCTTACATTCAAACATACAAACATGGCTCAGTGCTAAATACAACCCTGCAAGCATGGGAAATTGGTAGAGTCCCAGCTGTCAAAGCATTGTTGGAGTTGCACGACAGATGGGGTTCTACCTTTAGTCCAACCTTGCAATTGGGGGTCCCAATAAAATTCATTCTACTTTAGTACCGCCACTGCGTTGGGATGGATGCCGTGATTGCATACGAGGGAGTGAGGGGCGAGAGCGGCAGGGCCCAGGGGGCCCAAGCAAACACTTGCCCAGGGTCCATTCGTTATTAAAGACGGCCCTGCACATTTATAGCACTTTAATTCTTCCTATACAATTATCTTGTCTGTCTATCAACACATCTATTTTATTTGTGTACTTGTGTCTATCGCTGATGTTAACGGGTGAGTAGATAAAATTGCACTATGGGCCACTAAATAGTTTTTGCCCCACTGGCCACAAGTTGCCAACCCTCCCCTGACAGGAAAAGTCATAAAAAACAATTATTTTCAATTTGGTTATTTTAGCCCAAAAGTTGACATTCACCTTCTTTGCACAATAGACACATAGGAAGTAAATGTAATGAAGGACTGTTTCATAAATGAATAGTTTTTATCTATATTTTAGAAAAAGAAACGATCTGTGAAAATGGAAGACCATACATACGAGGTACATATGTTTTTTTTTTTTGTCCGTTTTTTTTTTTGCAACATTGTTATGTAAAAAGATACGTGGCTAACTAGTTTTTATTTCTATCACTGAAAGCAATAACTTTGATTGAACTGTTGTGAATTAAAAGTGGACTTTAAATTTAAGGCCTGGATAGTCAAACTGGAAAAATTCACCTGTCTTCTGCATTTTGAATTTGGGCGTTTTTTTTGCGTAAAATTTGAAGCACTTGGGCAGAGTGGGAGCCCCAGAACATACGTAACCCCTTGCAAAAACTGGGTTAGCAAATCCCTTATCAGCATAACAGTCCCGATACGTCGTCAGTCCACAAGAGATTAACGTTATCCGCCTATGAAAGAGGTTCGTGTGCATGTAGTGATGGTAAAACACGAAGGCTGTCACTTGGTACCCTGAGATATATCCTATGCAAGCTCTACGCCATGCAGACCCCCAGACTGCCGCATGTGCATTATCATAGTATCGCTGACTCCTACAGGAAGTGAAAGTGGATCTGGGTTTCAAATTTTACTCTCTCCAGGAAGAGAAGCAGCAGGATTAAGTATATAGAGAAAAAAAAAGAAGTGTTCTATTTTAGACGTGGCATGTAATATCACCCAGGTTATATAAACTTCCCTGTTTTTTTAACCTTTTCATGACAGACGACATGCCAGAACTGCGGATGTATAATGGGATTTGTCGAGGACATTTAAATGACGGGTTTAAAAATATAGGTTACATTGTTACTCCTCGTTTGCAGGTTTGAATGCCTCTCTGTGGCTCACTTACAAGCATTTAAGTGGTTAATGGAGAGTAAAGAGAAATAATTAGAATTAACTAGTGGCGAATGTAATAGGCACTAACCCTTCTCCAGTATGGATTTGGGAGACGCAATAACGGACACTCCAGCAGTAGAGGAGTACAAGTTTATATTCTTTATATTCTACGGTAAAGAAAAAACACGCTATCTCCAGCTCTTATTATAAATGATAACCAGTTAAATACCGCCATAAAACGGGGCACAGCAACATTAAAGGCCTTAGAAGGTCTGTCCGCACACTAGGTCCTTCTACGGCCCGCATGGATCATTTTGGACAATTAACTTTGTTACTATCTGTAGCTGTGCACATTTGTTCACTGATAACTGGCTGAGAGCCCTGGACAAGAGTGAATGGGTTTGTAAAATTAATCCTAAGAGGTCGGTTCTAGGGAGAGATCTATTTTTCCTCAAACTGGTCCAAAGAGGAATGTCCCAAAAAAAACAGGGACTCACAGATCCATAACCACTGGTTTAAGCACTGTTTTTTTCATTATGGCTAATCTGCAAGTAGTATAAATTGTCTATGGAGCGACTTAGCGATGTTAGATATACATTGTAATACAAAAAACACCACTATATAATATATAATGTTTGCTATAATCTTTTCTTGTTATTTTCCTCAATGAATAGACATAAACTACAAAAATATAATTTTTCCAGTAAAACTCTACTGCCCTCTGTAGGCGTTTATTAAGAATGCAATGGCTCTAACTTCATGACAGACATTGTAGGGGAAAATCTAGATTTTTAGGGTCTTTAACCCCTTAAGGACACATGATGGAAATATTCCGTCACAATTCCCTTTTATTTCAGAAGTTGTGTCTTTAAGGGGTTAAGTTAAAAGATTTTGGGTGAGGATACAATTGGTTCATTTAATTACTCAGAACATAAAGTTGGTAATCTCTATGTTTATATTTTGTTTGATAAAACCAAATATTATAACTATATTGATCAATAAAATTAATTTACCCTGTTCTTTCTTGTACAGGGGTTGGAGATATATCAATCAGCAACATATGAGGACATTCAAAATGTGCGTGTTTTATCATCAAAAAGCATGATCGGAGAGCATCCATGCATGGAATAAGACAATGGGGATGCGATCGCTAGTGCCCCCACATTTTAAAATACAGAGTCATGGGAGCTGTGGGTTAACTCTCATCAATATCCTTATATAATACCATGTTACAAGGCAGCTGCCCAGTTTCTACCATGAACTCTAAATCACATTACTTACAAATGACATGGAAATATTGGAAACGAACTTAGCTTTTTATTAAATAATAGCTGAAACTCAGTATTTACGAACCATGTAGTCCAGTCCTGGATAAATTCACATTTATTTTTTATTATGTCTCAAAAGGGTAATAAGTAAAGCTTGTGCTTAACTGATTATCATGTTAATACATGGGGGGCTTATGTACAAAGAGAAATTATTGGGCATAATTCTGAAGTGGAACTATCGCCATGGAAGCAAATGGAATGTTGATGTTGATTGCTCTAAGTTTAGAACTCTACCCCAACATTTCTCTTTTACATAACCCCGTATGGCTTGAGGGATCAGGGTAATTGTTACGCCTAACTGGTAACCAAAGTTTAAGTAGGGTTACTGTAAAGAAATCTTTGGTCAAAGAAAGACTACATGTGTCACACCATACAGTGTGTGGATATATTTGGAGATTTGGTCCATAGATTTGACAGTATTCTACAGTGAAGTCGCTTCATAGATTTACAAAATGAGCACTAAACGTTTTGGTGATATTCCCCCTAAAAACATAAAGTGCGAGTAGATTTACAGTATTTCTGTATATGAAACAAAAAAAAAAACTATATCGTAAATGATCACTAGACTTGAAAAGCATAATAAAGATGTCTACCATTTGCACAGTACGGGTGGTGGATTTAATTTCAGGTGATAGCTGTACAGACACTGTTTCATGTAAAGAGCAAAGGATTAAAGTATCAATTTGAGAAGGAAAAGCAATGCGGCTAATAATGTATGAGTCTTTTTTTAAATCTCACAGTCTTTATAAATTCTGTTTGACCCAAAACAACAAAAAACAATTAGCTTCCCTATTGTTTATAAAAGCCTGCTAATGCTATCATAGAAGGATGAAGATCGCACAGGGCCCTAAGTAGGTATCCAGTAGCCCCTAAACTTTGTACTTCACATAGGGACGGTAAATGGGGCCAAACAAATTCCTGGTTCGGGGGCCCCTGTCTAATCCATGGGCGCTAGGCAGCTGTCTAGTGTCGCCTTTATGGTTAATCCTATTCTGCATACTATGATCATATCAAAAGAAGTTAAAACTACTGGTTTCCTCTGCATATAGTTAATGAAACATATAGCATTATATATCATGAGACAGTCCCTTCTGTGAGTGTCTCCCGGGGTGGTAGATATGCGTACCTTGGAACTTTCTAAATGAACAGATTTTGGTTTTCCTTAAAATGATTCATTTGCGAAAGTGAAAGTATAAAGTGGCTCTGTCCTACTAGGACTGTTTGAGCCTGGGAACAAGGAACTGCTGTTTGAACCCAGTGATTTAATGTTACACCCCAACAATTTCCTTGGAACAAGCCTATCACATTGAGCAGCTGTCCTTTGGAGCTTACAATCTAGTTCATATCTGGTACAGTGTAGTTGAACAAGAGACTTTTACAACTGCAGACATATCTGAAAATTAATTAAGTTTAATGTTATATAATGGGGCTTATTCACTAAAAAGGTTCGATAACATCAATAATCAACTTAAAATTTGACCAAATGATGTCCTATTCCGCTATTTTGTGCTAACTCACTGTTCAGTAAATAAGACCATAGGAGTATGGGAACATTTATATCGTTATTGATTTTTTTTTCATATTTACCACTGGCTTTTAATTAGTGATTGGGGGAAAAAGAGAAGAATTAGCAGCTTTCATTCTTCCCTTTCTCATCTTTTGGATAAAATGAAAAAAAATTATATCGTAAAACTAAACCAATCAGCAATGTATCTTTATTTCAGATGTATAAAAGCTTTGTGATTGAGTAAGCTATATATGTGTTATGTATGCATAAATATATATTTTTATTATTCTTATTCTGCATCTAAATCCTACATGAATTGTTGTTGTGTTTGTTATGAATGAACATGATGAAATGGTACCCAAAAACCAGCGCTATTGAGCCTGTGCTTGTCTTACAATTAAATTCAACTGCAAACAAGTGTCCAGCAATCCAAAATATTTGCTCAGGGGCAAAAAAAAAATTGGTGGTCCGTCATGAAAAGTAATATTAATGGTCCGTCTCTTCCCTTTACCAAACATGTTGCTGGGGCGGGAGAGGATTAAGAGGTCAAATGAGCCAAAATGTAAAGTGTGTGACAAGAGCATTGTATTTATGCTTACGAATCTTTCAGATCGCACCTTGCCAAGATAAGGAACGTCATAAAATATTTAAAAATGTTAATCCCAAAGTAAATTCAAAATGTCAATTTTTTGTCATATCACAGTAATATAAACATATTGCTGTGCTCTATTAACTATGTTCCAAATTAATCTTATTCTATTTCTTAAAATAAGGAAAAGTGTCGAGCCAGAGCTTATTTTAGGAATTTGTATCAACTGGGCTGGATATTTTAGCAAACAACAAATTTCTGTTTTTGGTATTTTTATTGAATTAACTTGTGTTATAATAAAGCTAATTCGTTTTAAACTAACAGGTATCTTGTAAAATCCAATCGTAACACAACAAAAATAGAAGAGCTAGACAGACTGACAGACAGATTATTATGTAATTATGGTGCTAGATGTGCCCTAGTGCACCCAACCCCCAGGTAAGTATTGTAACCATTTGAGAATGGTTTGACAGATTAACTGAGGTCCACCGGGAAATGGTCACCTTCTTGTCTGGAATCTCCTCCTTGGAACTTCCATTAACTTTGTGAGCTAAGCCCTGCCATACAGGATTGACTCATTGGCTGAGATTAACCACCAGGCTAGCTCAGTCCAGGGAAGTTCCTGGCCTCAGAGGCAGCGACCAGTGGACCCCAGGAAAGCTATCAAACTGCTTTTAGTACAATGTGAAAACTACTATAGTGGGCTGTAGTGGGTTTGGTGCTTGGAGGATTGCTGTAACAAAAGTATCTAGTATTTAGCAGATCAGGATAAATGGACCTGCAATCCCCTAGTGGCATTCAGCAACTAGTTAAAAAAAATATAAACGTTAATTGCATTTTATTTCTATAAAATGTGGTTTAAATGAGGTTATCTAGCAGGTTAGAAAAGATCAGCACAGGTTAGTGTGAAGCCTCATGTTAGAAAAGGACAGCAAAGGTCAGTAAGGGGCCACAAGCCTCCTGTGCGCCTATCATGTTCCTATGCTAAATATGCAATAGTATGTAAGGCAATGAATCTGCGTATTTACACTCTGTTGAATATATCACACAATGTATTAATTCATAACGGTGATACCGAACACTCCGTCAGGTACAGAGATACAAAAACAAAGAGTTCCAGGAGAAACAGTTGACCAATCCCCACTGATTATATTCATAACTAGTGCTACTATTTCTCTGACGTAATTATTTACCGGAAATTCCAGATCAAACCAACAAGGAGCAATCCACAATTAAAAACAATAAAATATCGTATAGTTTTATTCCAAAATATTGTGTGTGATGGAGCATCTATGGTAGGTGGAGAAGAAGGTTAACATACCTATAGGATTATATAATATATATTGATACAAAGTAATAGAGTCCGGTTTTATGATCTTCTGATTCAAGTTTTGTTAGGTGATAGGAGAAAATAAAAAATAAAAAACGTGTATTACTTTAATTATTGGAAGAAGACCTTTCAGATAGTTTACAAAAGGCTAAATTCTGCTCAATTTTTAATCTGGCTGATAACATTTTTTAGAGGTTCACTATATTCGACCAAACTTCAACTCCACTGAGCCAAATTTATTCCCGATATGTGAGGGTCATTTGAAAGCTCCAACTGAAGTTTAACTAAATGTGCCTGTTCTAACAACGAATAAGGTAAGAGTAGGAGGAGGGATGGGGTATTGTTAGACTGGGGTTTGGGTTTGGGGAGGGATATAATCAGACTGGGGTTTGGGTTTAGGGAGAGATGGGATATCATTAGGCTGGGGTTTGGGGAGAGATGGTATATCGTTAGACTGGGGTTTGGGGAGAGATGGTATATCGTTAGACTGGGGTTTGGGGAGAGATGGTATATCGTTAGAGTGGGGATTGGGGAGGGATGGGATATCGTTAGAGTGGGGATTGGAGAGGGATGGGATATCGTTAGAGTGGGGTTTAAATTTGCGAAAGGATTGGGTATTTTTATAGGATTTGGGGATGGTAGTATTATAGAAGGTTAAGACTTGGGGATGGATGAAGTGTTATTATAGAGGGCTGTGATTTGGGGCTGGATGGGGTATTGCTATAGAGGGGCCATGATTTGGGGATGGATGGATTATTGTTATAGAGGGGCCATGATTTGGGGATGGATGGGGTATTGCTATAGAGGGGCCATGATTTGGGCATGGATAGGATATTGTTATAGAGGGGCCATGATTTGGGGATGGATAGGGTATTGTTATAAAGGGGCCATGATTTGGGGATGGATAGGGTATTGTTATAAAGGGACCATGATTTGGGGATGGATAGGGTATTGTTATAAAGGGACCATGATTTGGGGATGGATGGGGTATTGTTATAAAGGGACCATGATTTGGGGATGGATAGGGTATTGTTATAAAGGGACCATGATTTGGGGATGGATGGGGTATTGTTATAGGGTATTTGTGATTTGGGAATGGATGGTGTATTGTCATAGTGCGGCTGTGATTTGGGAATGGATGGGGTATTGTCATAGTGGGGCTGTGATTTTGGTATGGTGGGATATTGTTATAGAGTGGTTGGGATTTAAGGATGGATGTGGTATTGTTATAGAGAAGATGTGATTGGGAGATGGTTGTGGTATTGTTATAGAGAGGCTGGTGTTTGGGAATAGATGGGGTATCCTTGAGGAGGTATTGTTAAGGTAAGACCACCACCTCTACCAAGAACAATATGAAAGCTCTAATAAAGTCTCTGTTTCCTCCAGACTCAGTGAAGGTATGAGAGAATCTATACAGAGTAATGAGCACCGTTTATTAATCTTATTTTATACTCACATTTCTCAGGCATCAGTGCTGTGGAGTCACATGCACTAACTGCTCAGAAATAGTCAGCTTACTCGTGAAGTTCCATTGGAACTGTCCTGAAACGATGGACCTTTCCACAGCTTAGGAAACGTTTAGGAGGCTTCTCAGTTGCTCCAAGCATTTGCTCTGATACTGAAGAATCATGTTAATTATCTGAAAGCTGGCAATTTCTACCCATCACTGGGATGTGGAAAATGACCACTCTGGCCCAGGTTCCAACAAGTCTTGAATTGCACAAAAGGCCCCTGGCTTAATGATATCGATGGCCCTTTAACTGCATGAGGATTTATATAACGTTCTTCAGCCTAAAATCCATTCCCCCTCACCCCATTCTGCTTAGCCTAATTTGTGCGAAACCCTGTTTATACTCACATGTTTATAATTTTAAAGGCTACGATACAGAGACATCTAGCCTCAGGTTTGAGCTCATCTGATGTTTTAGGCACTTGATTTTCTGGTCCAACTCCATATTTGTGTCTATTCTCACACAGGGTCTGGAACACAAACAATACTGCAACATTATAAATAAATGTATGTTTCCTCCGTTATCAGTTTGCTGTCTTTTGATGCTACTGTACTGCTAATATCGAAAAAAAACGTGTAAATACTAAATAGCTGGTGGGGGGGGGGGAATAAATCATGAAGCAGACTCATTATCTGTCTGCTTTAGGGGAAATGATTGGTCTTAAGTGTCATACCGTTCTGCACTGCTCTTTTTAGGGGAAAAAAGATAGTGTGGTCAAGGGGTTTGGCAATGACAGAAAGAAAAATATCTTTAAAAGGGTATGGAAAAGGCAAAAAGGAAGATCTGAGCAAAGATTAATCAAAAGGGTGGTGGGGAAAAAAGGTAGCAGTAATCATGCCTCGCTTTCAGGTTCTGTATGAGTCTACACTAGCAGTCTGCGTAAGCAGACTTCCACTTCATTGACCTGTATTGGAGGTCTTTCGTTCACTTCAATCTTCAACGTTAAGAGAGAGAAAAAAATAAAAAAAATATATATACTTTTCCGTATATACAACAGTACAAATAAAATGCACACAATATCTTACTGTGCATACAAGTAAACCTACATGTGTAATCCTAGCTAAAAAGACCAAAAGAAAAACCCCAACGTTTCAGCTAGATGCCTTCTTCAAAGGGATATTTGTATGTAATATAGTTCATGTGGAAAATAATAGCAATTACAAACTCTGCAATGATTGTAAAAGTTATAGCACCTTCTACCAAATTGATTAAATTGATACTTACTTTAAAGGTTCAACGGTATAAATAAATGTATATATTGATATATAAACATACCCGGCCATCCACCAGCTCTACAAGAAAACACACAAAAAAAGAGATCAGTGACAGGGAATATACCAGCACACACTCGTAAATATACAGCCTTCCACAGAATCTAGACACCAGTAAGACACTCCATGGGGTGTCTCATAGCTATTCCCTTGGGATAGAACTTAGTGGTGTTCTAGCAAAACCATTAACAGATTTATTTAACCAATCATTGTTAACAGGAGTAGTCCCAGAAGATTGGAAGTTAGCGAATGTTGTGCCCATTTACAAGAAAGGTAATAGGGAGGAGTCGGGCAACTATAGGCCAGTAAGCCTTACTTCAGTAGTGGGGAAAGTGATGGAAACCATGTTAAAGGATAGGATTGTTAAACATCTAAAAACACATGGATTTCAAGATCAGAGACAACATGGGTTTACTTCAGGGAGATCATGCCAAACAAATCTTATTGATTTTTTTGATTGGGTAACTAAAATTATAGATCAGGGTGGTGCAGTAGACATTGCTTACCTAGATTTCAGTAAGGCTTTTGACACTGTTGCACATAGAAGGCTTATCAATAAACTGCAATCTTTAAGTTTGGATTCAAATATTGTTGAATGGGTAAGGCAGTGGCTGAGTGACAGGCAACAGAGGGTTGTTGTTAATGGAGTATATTCGAAGCATGATCTTGTTACCAGTGGGGTACCTCAGGGATCTGTACTTGGTCCCATTTTCTTTAATATTTTTATTAGTGATATTGCAGAAGGTCTTGATGGTAAGGTATGTCTTTTTGCTGATGATACTAAGATATGTAACAGGGTTGATGTTCCAGGAGGGATAAGTCAATTGGCAAATGATTTAGGTAAACTAGAAAAATGGTCAGAATTGTGGCAACTGACATTTAATGTGGGTAAGTGCAAGATAATGCATCTTGGATGTAAAAACCCAAGGGCAGAGTATAGAATATTTGATAGAGTCCTAACCTCAACATCTGAGGAAAGGGATTTAGGGGTAATTATTTCTGATGAGTTAAAAGTAGGCAGACAATGTAATAGAGCAGCAGGAAATGTTAGCAGAATGCTTGGTTGAATAGGGAGAGGTATTAGTAGTAGAAAGAGGGAAGTGCTCGTGCCATTGTACAGACCGTATCTCCAGAAGGATATTGATACTTTAGAGAGAGTTCAGCAAAGGGCTACTAAACTGGTTCATGGATTGCAGGATAAAACTTACAAGGAAAGGTTAAAGGCACTTAACATGTATAGCTTGGAGGAAAGACGAGACAGGGGGGATATGATAGAAACATTTAAATACATAAAGGGAATCAACACACCAAAGGAGAAGACTATATTTAAAAGAAAAAAAACTATCACAACAAGAGGACATAGTCTTAAATTAGAGGGGCAAAGGTTTAAAAATAATATCAGGAAGTATTACTTTACTGAGAGGGTAGTGGATGCATGGAATAGCCTTCCAGCTGAAGTGGTAGAGGTTAACACAGTGAAGGAGTTTTAGCATGCGTGGTCATAGGCATAAGGCTATCCTAACTATAAGATAAGGCCAGGGACTAATGTAAGAAAGTTTTTAGAAAATTGGGCAAACTAGATGGGCCGAATGGTTCTTATCTGCCGTCACATTCTATTACGTAGAGGAACAGCCTTATAGGGCTTAAGGTTAAATTGTATATATATATATATATATATTAATTTTGTTACTTTTTTGATTTATTGTTACATCTGTTTGTTACTTATCATAGATACACATCTCTTTATTTGGATACAGTCACATATCCAGTTGGCATTAATCTCACACTTTGTGTGAGACTAATTGCCTTCTTTTTGCATATGATATAAGAAAACATGATTCATCAGAGCAGGCATCCTTCTTCTATTGCTCTATGGTCCAGTACTGATGCTCACGTCCTGACTGAAGATGCTTTCAGTGGTGGACAAAGGTTATCATGGGTACTCTGACCAGTCTGTAGCTGTGCAGCCCTATACGCAGCAAACTGAGAGTCACTGCGTGTTCTGACACCTTCTATAAAATCCAGCATTACGTTTTTTAGCAATTTGAGTTACAGTAGCTATTACGTGTGACCAGGCCAGATGGGCTAGCCTTTGCTCCCAATTAGCATTAATGAGACAAGGGCACCCATTACCCTGATGCTGGTTAATCAGTTGTCCTTTTTTGTACCACTTTTGGTATTTATTAACCATGGTGTACTAGGAACAAGATTTACCTTTTTGGAGATGTTCTGACCCATTCATCAAGACATCACTATTTGGACCTAGTCAACGTCACTCAGATCTTTCCACTTGCCCATTTTTCCTGCTTCCAACACGTGAAATTCAAGAAACGACTGTTCACTAGCTGCCCAATATATCCCAGCCCTTGCCATGGGCCATTGTAACAATAAAATCAATGCTATTCATTTCACCTGGCCGTGATTTTAATGTTGTGACTGATCAGTGTGAATATATATATATATATATATATATATATATATAGCTTCAAGAATAAAGTTTATTTTTTTTTTCATTCTAGCTCCTTTAGCCTATTGGGGTGCAACCCTTTAAATCATCTGTTGTATCTGGGATACGCTGATTTTTTTCCCCCTGTGTATTAAAAATCAACAGCAAAACCAGAGAAATTAATAAAAAAGAAAGTTTCTCACTAAAATCACTAAACTGTGTCCTTATTTTTTTGTCATCTATAGTATGTTTTTTTTTAAATTCAAATTCATGTGTGATATTAAATCTTAACATGTAAAAGAATAAAATGAAAAAAAAATAACCTAATACGGGATCACGACGGCCATAAAAGCCTATGAACACCTAGATAATGTCAAAGCAGTTTATTGCATATGAATTCCCATCACATGGAAACGCTGCATAAATGTATAAGTTCTTCCTGACGACACAAGAAATAGGATGTCAACCCTATCCCTATTAATAAGATTATGTATATAAAATGACTCTAACCAGACCACTGCCAGCATTCACCAAAGTTTTCATCTCAGCTTCTACAAGCTCCACATCAACTTGTGCCACACCATGGATTCAGGTATGGATCTACCTCAATGTAGCCCGATCAGGTATAGAATATGGAACTAAATATCAAGCTGCTTTGGAAAGGAACTTTTAGAATAAACGGGAACAGCTAAACATTGCCCTCTAGCTGGTGCTAAACTACATTTTCCAAAATTTCCTCGTTGATGTTTTTGGAAAATGTTCTGTAAAATGATCACTGCAGGAGGGTTGTGGTGGGACATCCCTAGATTACAAGGTTTGGTTATTCTAGGTCCATATTCATAATGTCACACTAAGTCGAGTTAGCCATTCGTACATCAGCTTGTGCATAAGATTCCAATGATAATCTGTACATTCACCATTTTTGATGATGTGGACTGGTATAATTCATGAATCTACAGATTATTATTATTGATGGAACTTCTTAGCAGGTGTATTCTGATATATACAAACCAATGAAAGTCAACATAAATATTACTGGTGGAACTTCGTGTTTTACCTCTGACTACTAATCTCACAGAGGCAAATTCTCTACACAGATTTAAATCCAACATTAACTCTAAACTAATGGTAATTCAGAGGACTTGAAGCCTACAGATACACTAACACATTAAACAGTAATTCAACAAGGTAAATCTTTTTGAACCCATTTGTAGCTTGATAGAATGTGAAAGTCTTTGGCCTACATCAGTTACTTTTTAAATACTTAGATGGGTCAGAGTTAGAATTCTATTTACATTATCCCACAGAAGATCACCTCAAGGTGTCACCAGACATCAATGAAACAAATGCACCTTAGTTTGATCATAACATCTTTTTTTTCCCAAGACATAGCTGTAAATTAGAGAAAGGTAAATGTATCTTTGTACGATAAAATGCTCTGACGCTACCATTGATTACTAGCAACGAATGGTATTATATAACCACTTACTGCAAAAAATTTAACCACATTTAATACATTGTTACAGTTATACAGAGATACCTCCGAGAGCGGGTTTTTATGCATAGTCAACTGAAACCATGTCTTAAATTTCAAGTAAAGATGAATATCTGTAAACACTTAACCAGGGATCATGTCTATTTTAGTTGACGTTAAAAGTATTATTCATTGAAAATGTATTTGGATTTTGTAGAATATTTGAGGGTTGCCATTGTAGATACTACAATATCAAGTTGTCAAACTAAATACAGGAGAATAAATTTAATTTAGTATAAGTTATTAGCCATCAAGACACAGTTAGCAGCCGGCGTGATTGATTTTAAGGGCTACAGTAATGGCTCCTTAGTTCTTATCACTTAACTTAAACATAATTGGTTGCAATCACTTCCACAACTTCTTTAATTGGACGTCAAAGTGAGCTTTCTCTCTGTTTTATCCAGGGTTTTTCTCTCCTCTCGTATTCCTGGTTATTTTGTCGATCCAGAACCATTTTCATGTTAGGGCTTTTCCATCAGTGCCTTTGTCAAATCTCATTACAAATGCTGTGAACCGGGCCCAGGACCTTCATCTGCTGGCTGCAGACACATACCGGGACTATGTAAGTACCCATTATAACAAACATTTTTGACAGATAGCATATTATAGTAGTGTATGCAAGGAAAAGGCTGTCTACCCCAAACCCTTCTCCGTCATTGATGCAATTCTTTAGAACCCCTATGTCTACAAAAGTATCGTTAGCTATGATGCTTTTTCTTAGTGAAGAACATCAAACCTTGGACAAATTATTGGCCAATTCATAACCGATATCTTTGCTAGATAGCCTCCTAATTATTGTAAATTAAATGTGTAGCTGGTAATTAGAAATGTGAAGTGCAATTTGTGTCTTTAAAGGAACGTACCTACATCCCAGAAGACCAGAGACATTCAAATAAAAATTCCCGCGCTGTATATTGTTATTCAGAAAGCATCCGTGCCCCATCAGACAAGGACAATACCCACCAAAAATCTGTGAGTACACTGCTGGAACGTGTAGAAACTAGAAAACATTATTGATTAGGAAACTTTGATTTTCGTTGAGCGGCACAAAATGATATGGGTGTTATTTAGTGATACCACAGCCTGTATTTTGTATATGTCATATTTCTACTCTACCCTAGAAGACTTTTCAACTAATTTTGCTTACATTTGAATTTATACTGTAAGTTTGGTGGGGGTTGTAGTCTCTCTGTGTAGATCTGTCTTGCAGGTCCAATCATCTGGTGAACTGGAAAAATATTGGTAATTCCTATTTCAACAGTTTGGTCCCTGTATCCTTATTTTAGTACACATATTTATACGACACCAATTAATGCTACAGCCATAGATACATTGACTAGTAAATGTTAGTGTGACATGCAAATGAAAAGATCCAGTAGGTTCTGAGATCTCTACCGACAGCTGGAGAGGGAAACAGATAGGTTAAACACAAGTTGGCAATAACATTAAAGAGCAGAGCAGCACCGTGGGTTTGAACAGGTTCAGGGAAGGAGAGAGTCAGATTGAATGGTAGTAAGCTTCAGACATATCAGGCCACATGGTAAAAGGAGAAATTTTGGTTCTTCTGCCACCTGAAATATTTAATTTTTGCAAAAACCACCAGGTTTATATCTGTAACATGTTCGTGGTCAGCTTCTGACATGACAAAGGGTTATAGAGACCTTTCACTGATAATTCAGTGCATTGAACCTAAATTATTTTTATGGACTAGAACAGTGAAGGCTCACCTTTGCACCATATGTTTTTGAGTATATTTTTAATAATTCTCAGATTCTTGGACATCAAAAGAAATTGTAATTTAGAAACATCTTGGATGCCGTCCGATGCACATTTCTCATGATATGATGCCAGATTTAGAGTGTGCAAAGGATTGCCATCCCAGGACTAAAATACCTATTACCCAGTCAACTAATTAGTAACGCTTTAAAGGAACACTTTAGTCACAGTAACATAGCTCACGGTAATGGTTACAGAACAAAAAGAATGTGGCGCTGCACCAGACAAAAAACAGGGTTGCCCTTCGCTTGCCACTTGGCTAATGCAATATGGACTACTTAATTCACTAACTTGTCCAACTTTGGGCATCGACAATAGTCTGAAAAAACTGTGGGCAAGTGCGGCATAATGAGCTGTAGTGGTTATGGTGCTTAGGCAGCCTCCTAATCAAACACGACTCCCCATCATATGTAACTTTACTTTTGTCAATCACTGCAGGACATGGAGCTACTGCGCTTTTCACTGACCCTCATTCAGTCCTGGCTTAATCCCGTGCAAGTCCTCAACAGAGTATTCACCAACAACCTAGTTTTCGGGAACGCAGATAACACTGTGTATGAAAAGCTGCGAGATATGGAAGAAGGGATCCTGGCCCTGATTAGAGTGAGTATGAAATGTGGCAAAATATTAATTGGAAAGAGTTAGCCAGTGCATGATTTGTTGTTTAAAGATTACCCAACCTTATATGAAATTTACTTCTGCAAAGAAAATGAGGATTCTTCCAATGATGGCCAAAGCTTCCTTTATAAAGATACAAAACTTTGCATGTTTTAAAGACAATATCATCAAAGCAGAGAAACAGATAGAATTTGGAAATGGGAGGGAATAGTTTGATGGGTATATGTGCTCATTGTAAGATTTAAATGGTTGGTTGAAAATTATTTCGAAGAATATCATCAAAAATGCTGGGCCATTTTAAATTATAATTAGTATTGGTAAAATGATAAATGTCTGTTGTGTTGGGGCAAAAAGGCCATATATGGTGCAAGAGATAAGTATAAGAGTAGTTTAGAATATGAGAGCAAGTTGGTTGTGGTGTGCCGGAACCAACGATGTGGTAGGGCCTGTAAATGAAAGAGGGACCACCCAAGTGTAAAGGGGGGGGGGGAGAGGAGGAGGATATGTTGAGTAGTAGGAGTGGAGGGAGAGCCATGCAAATCGCTAGACCACGAACGGTGTGGAGTAAAGCAAGGGTTCCCTTTAAGCAGGAAAATCACATGCCCCTCCCACAATTACAGGCCAAACGGCCTTAATATTTGCGTACAAAATCTTAATGTGAATATTTTAAATAAAAAGTACATGTTTTTGGACAAATGTAAACATTGTCATTTGTTTTATAGTGTCCAAATAAAGGGAGTGCATCTGTGCTCTAAAACCTCAACATTAAGATGTAGATGTCCCCTTTGATATTTTTAATGCGTTATATAGTGCTCTTTAAAAATACTGTTTAACTACATCCTGTAATGTCAATTTAATAAATCAAACATTTTTGGTCCTATTTAGATTTACGTTTCCATTACATCTTTCTTTTTTTAACTGCATTATGGGGGGAAAAAATTCTCAATTAATATATTACTATATACTGTGTTAATACTTGGAGAACATATACGATACGACTTCTGAATTACACTCAAACGTTTGGATGGAATTTATGCTAAGTGATTGAGATTATTTCGTTATTTTTACAGTAGGAGAGGAAATTAACTGGTTTTGTTATTATACAGGAAATGGAAGAAGGGAACGCTCGTAGCTATGACCTCATGAGACTCACCTACGATAAATTCGACATTAACCAGCGCAGTGACAATGCTTTGGTGAAAAACTATGGTCTTTTGTCGTGTTTCAAAAAGGACATGCACAAAGTTGAAACTTACTTGAGGGTCATGAAGTGTCGGCGGTTTGTTGAGAGCAACTGCGCAATTTAAATATCCTTTTCAGGATAATAGTTTTACGCCATTCCCTTTCCAGCCAGAATCTCGTAACAAATATTGGGATATTGTCACTAGTTTATCTCGCAGAAAGAGGATAATAGTTTAATTTAAGTAGCATTACTTTTACTATTTTAGCCTAAAAAAAAAAAAAAGAAAACTGTGTGTGTTGCTTGTGCTTATAAATATATATTGTATTATCCGTGTAAAATTGTTGTACAATGAGCGTCAATATGAAAACAAATAAAGAATGCATTTATGTTTTAAGTTCACTACTGCAATCCAATTCATGGGTACTGTGTTTTATCTTTTAGTTAAATAATATGAAAAGTATTTAACCAAAAATTGCACATTTAACTTATTCTTGGGTTATAGATGTTATCATTTAATTACACGCACATTTTATAGACCTCAAATGGGAAACACCTTGTAGAATAAACATATCTAGAATTACCAAAAAGAATACAAAAAAAGCCACTCTGACGCCTACATTCAGATACATCGAATGCGTGGGGGAAAGACTATAGCAAAGCTATAATCACCGCTCCATGGGAGAGGTCTCCAGGGATATATTCACTGCAGCCTGGTATGGTGGAAGAGGTCCTCAGAGATTCCAGTCAAGCTTCGATGACTGGGTCTATAGTGCTCCAGAGTCCCTGGTAGTAGCAAGAAAGCTGACCTGGCCGGGGTACTCAGTCGGAGTACAGAGCTCGGTCACACTCACCTTTTTAGTTGTCCTTAATGCACTTCTTCAGCTTTTGCTGGCATATCCCTCCCACACCAGGATGAAATGCTCCAATCAGAACAGCTCATTCTGGTCTATTGGAACTGATATCTGTCCAGCAAAGGATTATGGGATAAGTAGTTTATCTCCAAAAACTACCTCCCCTATTGTGCCTGTTGCATGCGCATTAACAACAGTAACACAACAGACACTGACAATGCAAACTAACAGGGTTATTTACTAAACTGTGAATTTAAACGGAATTTCTAATTCAAGGCCAGAGCAAGATAACGAAAAGCATTGCTGACTTCGAGAGTTTTTCCATTATGACTATTTTAACCTTAAATTTGAAATTCACCTAAATAAATAACCCGCTAAGAGTTCTGGGCCGCCTGATTGACAGCCTTGCTCATACTGTCTCTATTAACCCACTCCCAGAAACGGAGGGTGGGCTCAGAGAGCTGTTAGCACCATGAAATGTCCAGTAATGCCAAGTGCTTAAACTATCACTTTAAATACCACAGGTTGAATGTATTGAGCCTTTCAAACAGACCCCTTTGAAGGGACAGAACAGATAATTTGGTAGTGTTCAAATAAACCATATACACACGAAACACTGTTTGACTCAAGATATTTAATATAAAAAATTGTAAAGATACATTGTATAACTTATTTATTTAGAGAACCAAAACAGTAGATCAATATTTTACAAAACACGTCTCAGACGTCACATGTCATCTGCCATAGTCTCCTCGTAAAAAGTGAGTTCGGACAAGCTTTCCTCCTCTCCGTCTTTATTTATTTGGGTCCATGTGAAGTCGTTTATCTGTAAGAAAAGAGGGGATTAGAAGCAATAATAAGAGCAATACTATCAAAGTGTTTTATTAAGAATAAAGATTTAGATTGCACTATTAGTCCAGTTAGGTGTTGGCTCGCAGGGAATAAAACATTCAATATTGAAGCATGACCACAATATTACAAAGAAATTAAGAGATAGTTTAAAGGGGAAGCATCACATTTTTTTCTGTTGCATCAGTCTCAGCGAACACTCTGCTTATGACTTTGCCAGACAACAAACTGTTGTATAGTCATCTTATGCCGGTTAGCTAAACCTGTTAATGGGCTGACATATTGAATAATATTACATTTCCAAAATCCCTCTATGGCTCAAACTGTTCCTGGTGTGAATGGGAAGCAATGAAGTCTTGTTGATTTCCATGAGAAGGCATCATGAGAGGTTTTTTGGTATTTTGAGTCAACATTGATTTTGACTTGTTTGAAAACTATATAGGAATCATTGGAGGTGGAAGTTGATTTGCCTACGTTATGCAGTTTGTAATGCAGTTTGTAATTTTTACAATTTTATCAACCCTTTAGTGACCAGACTGTTTTTCAATTTCCTTACCGTTAAGGACCAGGGCTGTTTTTACATTTCTGCGGGGTTTGTGTTTAGCTGTAATTTTCCTCTTACTCATTTACTGTACCAGCACATATTATATACAGTTTTCCTCACCATTAAATGGTCTTTCTAAGGCTACCATTATTTGCATTATATCATATAATTTACTCTAACAAAATTATATAATAAGATGAACACATTTAAAATAAAAAAAAAGCTTTTTCTAAACTTTTACCCCCAAAATCTGTTACGAATCTACAACCGCCAATAAACACCCATGCTAAATACCGGTAGTTTCTAAATTTTGTCCTAAGTTTAGAAATACCTAATGTTAACATGTTCTTACCTTTTTTTTTTTTTTGCAAGTTATAGGGCTGTAAGTACAAGTACATTGCTGTTTCAAAAGATATATTGTATCGATAGTGACATTGTAACACTGTTAACTGTCAAATCTCTGAATCACACCTCACATGTACATATTTTTTTTTTTTTTATGTAGACAACCCAGGGTATTCAATATGGGGTATGTCCAGTCTTTTTTTTTCTTCTTTTTATTCTTTTTTTTTGGTAAGTCGGTGTGGTACATTGTACATTTTGTAAAAACAAATACGCAATACGTGCAGCAGTAAAGTAAGTACATATATTTTCTGTTTTACATTGTTGTGTTGCTTTGCAACTGAGAGGTTACTTACGTACTGACGACTTCAGGTTTTTTCATTCTGTATACTTAACTTTATTAATTTACCATTAACAATTAACAGTTTCCAGGAGAGGTATTGTTTTCAAATATGTTTTCTATCGGCCCACTTCCGTTTCTTAGACTTGAGAGTCCAGGAACGAAGAGATAGTGAAGAGAAAAGAGGAGTAAGAGAATTAAGGATAGGGATAGCGGAGATAGAAGAAAAAAAAAATAAAGGGGAGGGGGAGGGGGGGTTTAGGTCCCTCTCGTGGTTGGGTCAGGGTGAGGTGGAGTTTTCCGGCTCTTGTGTTCCTTTTGTCCTAGCGGCTTCAGTCTCCTGGAGGTTTGATGGCCCAGCGGGCGCCCCATTGCCATTCCGGGTTCCATGATCCCGTGGCCGTTGTGTAGGGAGAAGGGTTTACGTTGGGGGTGTGTGTGTGTGTGTGTGTGTGTGTGTGTGCGTATGGTGTCCCTATTTCCCTCCCGGCGTCCAGTCTTTTTTAGTAGCCACTTAGTCACAAACATTGGCCAAAGTTAGCATTTATATTTGTTGGTGTGTTAAAAAATGCAAAAAAACCCTATTATGAATGCTAATTTTGGCCAGTGTTTGTGACTAAGTAGCTACTAAACAAGACTGAACATGCCCCATTTGTAATACCTTGGGTTGTCTTCTTTTGCAAATGGTATGCCATCATGGGGGTAATTCTCATTCCTGGGCTACCATACACTCTCAAAGGTAACATAACCAATCTGGCAAATTTCAATGTGAAAAAAATGGAAAATAGAGCCTTATATTTGACCCTGTAACTTTCAAAAACACAATAAAACCTGTACATAGGGGGTACTGTTATACTCGGGAGACTTCGCTGAACACAGATACTAGTGTTTCAAAACAGTACAATGTATCACAACAATGATATCATCAGTGAAAGTGCTGTTTGTGTGTGAAAAATGCAAAAAAACATAACTTTCACTGACAATATCATCGCTGTGATATGTTTTACGGTTTTGAAACACTAATATTTGTGTTCAGCAAAGTCTCCCGAGTAAAACCCCCATGTACAGGTTTTAGGGTGTCATAAGAAGTTACAGGGTTAAATACAGTGCTAGCAAATTAAATTCTGTGGACTTTCAGCCTGGGTTGTCAGGCACAGGCCCGGACTGGCCATCGGGCATACCGGGCAAATGCCCGGTGGGCCGCGATGGCCGTGGGGCAGAGGCCGGCAGGGGATCTCCCCGGCCGGCCGCTGTAGGGCCAGCGCTATCCGAGCGCCGGCCCTGCTGTGGGCCGGTCTCCCTCACCAGCACACAGACAGGGAGATGCGGCCGCCGGCTGGGGAGGGAGGGAGGCAGGAGAGAGGACCGACAGAGCTCTAACAAGCAGCTCCGCCGGGTCCTCTCGCGGGATTCTGAGCGTTGCCGCGGTTACTATTATTTAAAATAATTTCCCTAACAGCCCCCCCAGACACACACAGCACCCACAGACACACACACAGCACCCCACAGACACACACACAGCACCCCACAGACACACACAGCACCCCCAGACACAGACACACACAGCCCCCTCACAGACACACAACACTCCCCCACAGACACACACAGCGCACCCCACAGACACACACACACAGCGCACCCCCAGACACACACACACAGCGCACCCCCAGACACACACACAGCACCCCACAGACACACACAGCACCCCACAGACACACACAGCGCACCCACAGACACACACAGCACACCCAGACGCACACACCACCCTCAGACAGACAGCACCCTCACTCCCACACATATACAGCACATATATATTATATAAAATAACCCTTAACAGACAAATAAAATTAGAAACCCAGAATGTGACGGCAGATAAAAACACCCTTACACACAGCACTCGTCTTACACAAACACACTGCGCACCTCACACATACAATACGTCCAAATATATATATATATATTATATATATATATATATATATATATATATACATACACACACACACTACAGCGCCCCTCACAGTGCACCACTACACACATTACGCTCCAGATACACGCTAGATCCCTTACCCTATATGCACTCTTAATCCTCTACACACACACACACACACTTCTATACACACTCTGGGTCCTTTACACACTAGATCTCTTACACACACACTGCACCACCTACACACACACTACATTCCTTGTAAGCAAATACATACAACATTCTCTAAACACACCCTCTCTACAACCCCTACACACACTACGTCACCTATACACACACACTACTGCCCGTATGCACACACTCGCTGCATCCCCTATAACACTATGCCCCTATACAAGCACTCTCTACAGCCCCTAGCCACACATATTACACCACACATATTACACCTATTTACACAATACCACACCACACTCTACACACAGGCAATCTCACAAGCATGCGCCAAACACATGCACCATACACTTTCCTGGCCCTTTTGTCCTCTGGTATCCCACTTGTGGAGACACCAGAGACAATTTAAAAGCAAACACAGCGCAAGCATGTTATTACATTTGCTTGCGCTGCGCAGAACAAATACAGGGCCTTTTTCTAATGCTAGAGCTCTTCAGCGGGACTCTGTGCATTGAACCAACATGCTCACTTTCAGAAGGGGCGTACTTGTCATTAGTGATGACAAAACACACCCTCTCTGGCCCTGCCCCCTCCTTGGGGGGCTGCTCTAATTGAAAAATGCCCGGGCCTAATTTTTTTCCCAGTCCGGCCCTGGTCAGGCAGGTAAATTGCAATCAATAAAGTTACTTAATTATGTAAAAATATTACATAAATATGCACAGTCTACGTGTATATTTATGAAATTATTTATGTAATTATGTATATATATCAAATTATTTGTATTCATTTATATATATATATATATATATATATATATATATATATATTTTAATTCTAAGTGTCTTTTGATATAGATATATATATATCAAAATACAGTTAGAATAAAATTACATAATATAATTTTTTTATAATTTACATTTTATTTACTTATAATTTAATTACACACATATAAATAATAAGTATTTTTATATTAAAATAATATATATACACATACATATACACACACACATATTTTTTATTTATTTTTTTATTTAAAAAAATTAAAACATTACTTTTCAGCAGCAGGGAGACTGCCTGACAGCCCGGGCAGTCCCCCTGCAGGCAGATGCAAAGACACCTATTGCGGCCATGTGACCACTCTTTCAGAGCGATCACATGGCCTACGGGGACCTAATTTGCAGAGGGGGGACTGTCAGGCAGGAGCAACACTGATCGCCGGCGGGGAAACGGCAGCGATCGGGTAACTAATATATTTGCCGCGGACGTACTAGGTCCTTAAAGGGGTTTAAAGACATTTCAAAAAGCAGAACTGGTCACAGTGTGTGGAAAAACCATTTAAAGCAATAAGGTTTAGATAAGTCAGACCCTCATACGGAGTATGAGAAATTGATGCACAAGGCGTAACATCATTTAAATTACCTGGATCAGTCCCTGGAGCTCATCTTCTGTTAAACAGTCTACAGGATCATTGCTGGAAGCCACGTGCTCCACCGCCACTTTTCCACTCTCTGAGAAAAAAAATAATTTGCATCCCACTCTTTAAACTGACTTACAGACAATCAGCCCAGTGCTCTGCAACATCAAGGTTCACATTTATAATCTACTTGTTTAAAAATAACTGATGTCACCAAGAAAGGACACAGAACAGGTAAAACTGATATCTGGACGCCCAGGTAATGGTAATAACTCTGCGTCGACTTTTAATGCAGATGTTTAAAAGGAACACTATGGCGTTAGGAATACAAATGTATTCCTAACGCTATAGTGTTGCAATAACTATTTAGATATCCACTTCTCCACAATGATATTAAACCTACTTTATTTCCCCTGGCGCGTCACTCCGTAGGAAAGCACTGGGAGGCTAGTGTGCATGCATGGAAAGTTACAGTGCAGTGCAATCAGCATCTCCTCATCGAAATGCATCGCTATAGGGAGTGCTCAGTGTCTCAATGCAGAGCCAAACCCAGGACGTCCCTCCAGTTGCTGTCTGAGTTACTGCCACTAGAGGTGGCGTTACGCAGGAAAGTAAACACTGCTTTTTCTCGGAAAAGGCAGTGTTTACACTGCTCAGCCTGCAGGGACAGGCTCTGTGCCTCAGAACCACTTCATCAAGCAGTAGTGGTTGAGGTGCCTATGGTGTCCCTCTAACCCTGGCTAGATGGGAGTGACATACCCTATGGGCTTCCAAGGAAGAAGGTCAAAGAGTGAATTAGTAGTTATTAGAGGAATGGGAAACGTTCAATTCTATGGCTTCATTCCTCTAATAGGGTACAGTCACTTATCAAACTGTAAAGTTGGTCCTACACACAAAAAAGTATGGATGGAGAATACAGTTGTAACAGACATGGGAATTCTCAAGTCGAAAGCACTTTGACTGTAGGTGTGCTTTCCAGTCTGTGCCCGCATCCCCACTTACCCGTGTCCCGTATCTCTATCTTTTTTCGATCTGTACATTTCAATTGACCTTTTTAGCAAAATATTTAGGTATGTCAATTCCAAATAGCAGTTTCTCCCATTAGAAGAAAAATCCAGAGTGAGATCACAAAAATGCAGTTCCATCTCACTTCGTAAAAATAATATTTATCCTTCACCAAAGCACAACAGATGTACAATCTAGGCTGCATTACAATATATGCATGATTTATTATTTAGATGTTAAACCTCTACCTTTCCCAAAACCAAGATAACAGTAAAGATTGAATGGGAAATGTGGTCACGTATCAGACTAATAGGAACATAAAAATTAAAAAGGAATATTTTATTTTCCACGTATTTTTCAAATAATAGATCTGACCTGCTGCAAAAATAACAGATATTGCATTCTTTCAGCTAAACGTATAAATCTTACCAAAAATCACTAAGAGTATTTTATGAAAAGCATCAGACAGTGCTTTTTGAACAGCGTATTTCTGCAGTTTACCACTTTTCATGAGAAATTCCATTGGATCTGAAAAATGTAAAACATTTTCATTGCTAGGTTAATCAAAGCATATTATATGGAACAAGTGCTAATTGGAAGATGTGTTAAGCAATGATTTCCATGGTAACTAGAATGAGATTGGCTTGGCAGGGAGAGTTAATATCACACGACTAGCTACTAATGGCATGGATGTATTACATGAATTTAATTGCAATTTGAGGACATAATATTTTAAGATAGGATTTCAGGATTTAATGAAAAGCTACTTAATGCCATATAATGAAGAGGGGAACTACTCTCATTGTTCCCACAGTGCACCAAAAAAGAATAGGCACCCCCCGATCACTGGTTTGGAGAGTCCACAAGTGCCACTGTATAGTCGAAATAGTAGGTTGGAGCACGCAAATGTTCTCATAAAGTGCAAACCTTTATAGGGACCGCAAGCTGAAAATTGCAAAGTTTTGGCCAATAAATTAAGACTTGTCCACATCTATTGTTGGCTGAAACCTTGTCATTTACTGCTTGTTGTTCATATTAAATCCTGCCTCTCATAAGAAGCTTTGAGTGACCGGACCTTCTATTTTGAAAGACTAGTTAATGACTTGTAAATGGAAAGAGGAGAATGGGTCAATCACATGCAGGGCTATTAAATAAATTGAGAATTGAACAGGGAACTGGAAGTTTTAGGTCATAATAAATGATATGGAAAAGTTTATGCGTTTCAGAATTTAGCTACAGCGGCCTAAAATTGAAAATGCTTTTATTAGGTCTCCATTTAGTAAAAATTTGATGGCAACAGTATTTCCCTTTGAACGAAGAATAAGAAATGCGATTAAAATATTTTCTCTCTTTTATTTAAAGTAATGGCAATTTTTATAGAACACAATGCTTCTGACTGAGCCAAGCCTATCTAAGTGCCAGCAGGTCACCTGCATGAAGGAAAGGCAAAGCCTACTTTACCAATTAAACATACCGTTTGATTTCTCCACGTCTTCTTCAGCAACCCCCACTCCTCTGCTGCAGACATCATAGCCAGGCAGCATCACTTCCAAAACACACATGTATCTCACCTTCCTCTGCTCCTGTGTATCACACTCATCCTCTAGTTCGTGGAGGCCAGAGATATTCTGGAGCTGAAGGTAGAGTGTACAGATGTGGAACAAGGTTTTTGTCTAAGTATTGCATTGATCTGTCATTAAATGGACACTGTAGTCACCAAAACAACTTCAGCTTAATGAAGTAGTTTGGTATATGGAGCATGCCCCTGCAGCCTCACTGTTCAATCCTCTGCGATTTAGGAGTTAAATCACTTTACTTTCTGTTTATACAGCCCTAACCACACCTCCCCTAGTTGTGACTGACACACCCTGCATAAAAAAAACAATTGTTTCATTTTCAATCAGATGTTAACTTGCTTTACAAGGTTTTAGCTCCTGCTCTGTCAATTGAAGTGTAATCACATACAGAAGGCTCCTGCAAGGTCTAGCTAGCAAGCTATAAACAGAGCAGGATATAAATAAAATTCTAAATTAAACAGACTGTGCAATAAAGGAAGGATAAACATTAGATGATTCTTTACAGGAAGTATTTAGGAAGGCTGTGTAAGTCACATGAAGGGAGGTGTGACTAGGGCTGCACATACAATGTGATTTAACCCCTAAATGATAGAGAATTGAGGAGGAAGACCGCAGAGACATGATCTTTACACCAAAGCTGCTTCATTAAGCTAAAGTTGTTCTGGTGATTATAGTGTCCCTTTAATGTTTTAACAAATGAAAAAATACCAATACAATACACCCATTTGCATTCATGATTTAGACTACGGTGGACTATGTAAAAAAACTAACACTCCAAAATCTTTAGGGTGTTTTCATGTGCAGGAGAATTCTTGAAGGGAATTCTTGAAGTCCTTCCTTTCCCAAAACAATGTCTTCCTTATACGAATAAACAAAAAAAAGTGCGAAAGAGGTGGGAAAATAACTAAATTTCAAGCAGGATAATAGAGTAAAAGAGACCTGTCCATAATCGAAATGTTTAAATAATCATTCAAATTTTATGATTGAAGTTTTTCAAGTGTATTCTTCCAAGAAGCGACATATTTTGAGTTTACACTATTCTGCGTTTAACTTATACAGCTTCCTCCTGGGAAAATCTGCCGCTTCAGTTGCAGTATCAATGAATCCCTGTATCCTTATTAGATAAAGCTGACGTATAAGACATGCAATAAACACAATTTATCTTCAAGACTACAACAACATTATTGTATCTATTCCAAAAATGTTACGTCTTCATAGTATTAATGCAAAACAGCAGCATTAAAAGGGAACCTCTAGGCGACATAACTTAAAGGGGCACCATAGTGTCAGGAACACAAATGTGTATTCCTGACACTATAGGTCTAAAATAACTGTTTAGGTGGTTGGCCCTGCTAACCTCAGGGTTAGAAAGGTGATTTATTCATCTTTTTCCAGTGCAGTGTGGGGCTCCTCGTGTCTGGCCCTGTCCTTGATCTGCCTCCTTTGCTGACATCATCAGATTTGATGATTTCAGCCAATCCGGTGCTTTCCCATAAGAAAGCGACAGTCCGAGGCTTCCTGTTTGAAGAATCTGAGAGCAGCATTAGAGAGAAGACTTTCACAAACGGTTTAACTTCTAAAGGTAAGCCGGTGCCAGTGAACTCCTGGCACCATAACAACTTTACTCTGAAGTTGTTATAGTGTCCAGAGTGTTACATTAATAAATAGTAATAGATAACAACAGTACTCAATCTAGACTTGATCTACGGCTTTCATACTGCCCTGAATCATGTCTGCAGGGAGATCGTCTCACAAATAACAAGGACTTACTGCAATTATTCTCTTGGACCAGCCATTGAACCCCAGGTAAAAGTTGGCCAGATCCTGGCACTTGCTGCTATTCAGTGCCAAGGATTTGTACTGAAATACTTTCTGTTTGTTGCAGACTCGCACCTAAAGAAAACGAGAACAAATGACAGAAACAAGAGCACAGCAGGTTACGTTCAGAATAAAAGCACATAGGGTCATCGGTGAACCCATTCCCCACCCCCACTATCCATGTCCCCATACATAGATACCCTGCACACACAAAGAACTGAAGCTACAATCCGTAGATACTCTATACTAGGTGGCACTATCAAATTCAGCCCGACAGGGGTAGCCACTCGTGTTCCATATTATATTATAGAAAGGGAGGAGAAGAGAAAAAAAATTAAAAGAGGAAGGGGGAGATCTAGTCTCTCCAAATATGTCACCTTGCGCAATAATTGCTGGATTGTATAAAGCATGTACTTCTTATGTATTGGTTTCCTGTTTTTACCATTTTTAAACCCACACCAGGTGCGTGATAACCAGTAGGCATGAACCTCCTTATTATAGAACCTAGGCAATGTCAATGCACATATTTAATGATGGAGAATATAAAGTCATAATTCAGCGTATTAAGCATCTGTAGCCTCAATATAAAAAAAATTACAAAAATTTCCTATTTATGTTCTTCAAATTAT